CAAGAATTCCCCAGCCAGCCATGCTGGCTGGGGAATTCTTGGAGTTGAAGTCCACCCATCTTAAAGTTGCTGAGGTTGAGGAACTCTGGTTTAATGGACTCATTGGTGGGAGATGAGGATGGCAGTCATTCACAAATGTCCACTAAACCTGGAAATATGTCATTTGCATGACAGGCTCTTGCCTGAACAGTGCAAATTACCTCCTTAGCGTAAATTTACATCACCAGTGACATCATTTCTGTCATTTGTGCAAGGAAACTATTGGAAAGATACGGAATGAAAATGATACAGAATTGTGCAATGAAACTGTAGAAATGGTACAGAATTTAGTTCACTGAATGTGAAGCCTGTTGTATTTAGAGCTGCTAACGGGACGTTTTGCTATATATTGGAACTATAAACTAACTAAACAAATTGGGATTTGCACAAAGCTCCAAAGAGAACAAACCCAGATTTAGAATTCTAAGCAAGCTTAGCATATGATGCAAATGAAAACATGATAAAACCATATTCATTAAAAAGGGGGTAGGGAGTGAAAGAAAACAAAAGTAAAAAAATAAAAACCCTTTAATCTAACATTCAAACAGGAAAGGTCTGGGCAAACAGGTTTTCAACAGGCATCAAGACGGTTAAGCAGTAAACACCTCACGAATCCCATCACTTGATGACCACCCTTTCATCAGCTTTATGATGAAGGAAGCATAGGGATGGCAACCTTCAGCAGCCGGGTCGCATCGCAAGCATAACACTTTTCCTCGAATCCATTCACAACCTGAATTGTGCCCGCGAGTCATTTAAGACAGGGTTCCTCAACCTTAAGATGGGTGGACTTCAACTCCCAGAATTCCCCAGCCAGCCTTGCTTCAACTTCTGGGAGTTGAAGTCCACCCGTCTTAAAGTTGCCAAGGTTGAGGAACCCTGATTTAAGATTTAAGCAAATGAGTTGTGCAAGGATGGAAGTCCCTGAGCAGGGTTATGTTGCCCAAGGCATTGTGGCATACGCATAGTTTACAGTGGGGAAGGGATATATAAGACGGACGTTTCCTCTACCAAGTTGCCAAGTCATAATTAGTACTAAGACAAAGAAAGGAATGTATACATTAGGTAAAGCTTTATAGAGTTCTCTTGTCCTCTCTGAATTATATGAAAAGGGTGGGGTGAGGAGGTTGCCAGGAAAGTTACAAAGGGAGCAGTCAGAGGCATCTGCGTTTGGGGGCAGGTGTCAAAAAAAACCATGGTGGAGGTTGGGATTGCATGATCAAAAGGTGTGCCTTGCATGTGAAAAAGGGATCGGCTCTAATTATGCAGTCAGGACCACCATCTTGACTTTTATGACTCCCCCCCATGCCTCTAAGCAGTGCTGATGTACAGCTTGGGATGGGGGTTTAGCTACTGATTTATTGTTCAAATTAAACTAGAGAGGAAAAAATGGTGGGAGGTCTTATTCTTAAGCATGTAAAGCAGGGTTCCCTAAAGTGGTCAGTGTCGACCGCCGAGGTCAGCGGGACTCTCCAAGGGGTCGATAAATGGCAGGGGGGTCAGTAAATGTTGGGGTCAGTAGGAGCAGACAGCCTGGAAGAGCGTGATGACTTACAACTAAAACTCGCCAATCTCCAGCCAAATATCAATGCCCTTGTTGACGCTCACCAGATGCCTCCTTCCCATTAATTATATCAACGGTTTCAGTAAAAAAAAAAAAAAAGGTTGCTAAATCTTATATTTTTCATATTTTAAATATTAGCTATTTCTTATGAAGTCATTGTAGTATTATTAGTTAAATTAGTACTATTGAATGATTTTCATATAAATGTTTGGGGGTTGATGAACAGTCTAAATTTCAATTTCATGAAGGGGTCGACAAGCTGAAGATTTGGGGACCCCTGATATAAAGAAACCCCTGAATTCTTTCGCGCCGTCTCCAGCCTTAGCCGTGATCCTGGCACGCAAAAGCAGAGGTGGGGCAGATGAAGAGGACATCGCTTTGCCAGTGATCAAGTGTGCAGGTCGGATCTGAAGTGAGCAGGGGGGGGGTGTCCATCCGGTGTGTGCTCACTTGCTGCAGCTTTTCTTAGCTATCTGGGCTCAGGAGCATATTTGTGGCGTTGCCTTTAAAACTCAGGCCCCCGAATTGACGTGGAGCTGATAAGAACTTGACCCCTGAATTTGGGAGAGAAAACGCTTTCATCTTTGCAAAGTGGCTTTTTCGCCCTCCCGAAAATGTGAATCACCAAGTACTTCAGGCAAAGCAAAAAGCTTTTATTGAGGGGGCCCAAGTCTTAATGTAGTCTCTCTGCAGAGCACAGAAACAAATGATACATACATTTGGTATATGTGATCCGTCCCAAAGCAACAAACAATAAGATGTGCAATAAAAGCTTCATTTTGTTAGATGTGAGAAAAGGCAGACACTCTTAAAATATGTTGCATCTTCTTTCCCCTCCGGGCTTGTTTCTTAACACTTGCAACACTCAAGGTCTCCAGAATATGCTCCCTAATGTTCAGTTTCTAGATAGGCTAGTTTTTGCACGTAAAAAAGGCTCTGGTTAAAAGGAAAATGTGGTTTCCTGAACTTCAGAAGGAGGCGTGGATGCCATGCTAAAATGCTAATGTCACCTTTATGAAAAAGCTAATAACGAAGTCTAAAATTCCAGGGAGCTCTGGGAACTCAGAGGCGTTACGGGAGCTGCAACAGGCTGGCAACCACATGTCGCTGCTCTATTGCGGCTTCCATAATTCACTCAAACGTGGCTACTGTGCAAGCCCACGAAAAGGTGCAGGGTGTGGCTCCTTTCATACAAATGTACACACCTCTAAGCAGAGCAATTTGGGCAAGTCGCAGTCAGCAAACGTTTTAGCCGTGACCACTTCCAGATGAAGATCTTGCACCAGTCTAAAAGCCGCTCTGGAACTTGATGATTCCAATTTCGGGGGTTTATTTCTGGCTCAGCTATAGTGGATGTGGACAGGGGTGTCTGCAGGGTGTGGTCAAAAAAGTCAAGATGGAGGCCATGACAGTGCAATTGAAGCTCTGCCTGCTTTGTAGGTGCGTTGATGCAATTGTACCTCATGGCTCCCTTTCTTGACCACATCCTGTGGACACTTCTAGATGTGAAATTGCAGTGAAAATTAAGTCAAGGTTCTGTGGAGCTTGTAGATGGTCTGTTTTCCCATTTTCAGGAACTGTTGCCTTGTGCTTCATCCTATTCCTGGCTTCTGGTCTTGAGCTTCCCTGAGGGGTCTTTCAGGTGGAATGGTGGCTTTACAGATATTCAGCTCCCCCTCATAGGAGAAGAGAATTTTTTCTTTTTGGCACAACCACACATGCACAGAGTCGTATGTAAGGTTGGTGGAGAGGACTTATTCTTCTAATTATTCTGTGTAGAATAATAATGAGAGGATTTTTGTTACTCTAGAACTTGGGGCAGCTTAGAGCGGAACAATGTTAAATGATAATCTTACTCCTTGTTCTCAACTTGTTGA